AGCAGGTGCCTTACATAATACTTTGTGTTTGACTGCTTTAGCAATTAATAACTAACTAAATATTTCAGCATAAGATGATCTTAGCTCAACACTTTGGCATGAAAGGCAGCAGGCAATATATTCCTTTGAGAAATGTTAGGCCTTTGATTTTGTAGGATGAGCTTGCTTTAACCTTGTGACGTTGCTTAAAGATATGAATTAAATGCTAAATTAGACAAGACACTTTAGTCTCATCCATCCGCAGTAATTATTTTAATATATTTCAAGCATTTTATCCCTCTTGTCTTATAAGGACACCATTAAAGTCTAAAGAGGTTATTTGTTGTCTCTCGTTTGCAGTATTTCTTATCATGTCTCCCCTTTAGAACAACTCTGCTCTCCTCTTACTCCATTACACCTATAATCCCGGCCGYGTTAACCTAATTGTTCTGGCTGTGACCTACAATTGTCTTGAGAACTGAGGAAAGCTCTTTAAACGTGTCCGTGCGAGTTGGTGCGATGCGCAGGTTAGACCTCAGCCGAGCGAAGAAACGTCCCGGCAGCCGACAAGGGAGTAAGGTGGCGAGTGCGACGGAGCTCAGATGTCACACACAGCAGCCGGCGTTAATTAGCCCAGCAACTCTGCAGAGGGCGGCGCCGCAATAATTAGCATAAAGTGGCCAGAGGGACCTGCTGCACTCGTTAAGCTTGCATCACTTAGCATATTTAAAATCCCTCCATGTGAGCGTGTAGGTGGGTTTAGGCGGTGTTTGGGTTTCACTGGTGTGCCCAGTCCCCACACAGGTGTGCTGTGGGCTGAGTATGGGAATGCATATAGAGAATATAATCTTACATGTGGATTATTCAAGCTCTTTATCGACTCCATGCGTTCTGGTCCTGTCCACCTGTTCAGAGGTTCTGGGGCCGGATTTGTGAAGACTTGGCTAAGTGTCTGAAACGTAATACACTATCTCCATCTGTTTGCTTATTGGCTATTTTAGATGATGTCACTTTAGAGAAAAACACATCTCACATGATTTTTACTGCTCTATGTATCACAAATAAAACCATACTCTTGAATTGGATGCTCTTTATCGACTGCTTATGACCTATGGATTTTCTAATGTTTAATCTTTTAAGCACACTCGGGGTCTGGAGCTCAGCAAACCTGTCAAGGTTGTCAAGGGTGATTGGGACAAAAACAAAAAAAGAGCAGCTTTGAGGGTTAGTTTAGCATTTTTCAAACCCTTGTATTATTTATTATGGACTAGATAAAGGCTCATTACAGCCTGAAATGTCAAGAGAAGCTGATACCCTTTGATCGAAGATGCCTTTTCAGGCATTCAAGCTTATAATAATTCATATAATTCAGGGTAATATGTCATCATATCTGCAGTAAAATATTTGAAACAAGGCATTGACCTTGAAGGATTCCAGCAAACATAACTGTAAAAAGGATAATCTAATCTAAATGCATGAGCCACATGACATTTTTCAGTTTTTTATTGCATAAGAACCACATTTAGTAAGTTTCTTTTGTTAATAAATTTTATTAACAGAATTATTACCAAAATATAACATTTTAATAAATCAACTGATGGTTTCTTTACCCTGTAAAACAGTTTTAAGTGTTAAAAAATGGCTATATATGTGATTGTTTTATTTGTGCATCCTTCTGAAATCCAAATTTTACTTTTATTCGTAATCATATTGGTTTGTTTTCTTTGTCTCAAATGTCTTTGTATCAGTATGTCAAAATGATTGACAGTTATGTGTGAGCTTCAGCACATATTCTCTGTAGTGAGAGGAACCTTCCATCAACCCTGCTGCTGCTGCTTTTTGATGCTTTTTTTCCATCATTTTGGAAAGCTCTGAGGCTCGCAGGAATAATTCATACTCTTATACAGCGCCTCTTTTCGATGGAAGAAAATTTAACTTCAGACTGGATACAAAAACAGAGTATTGTTACCTTTCAATGTGTAGCTTTTAAGTTGAAACTCTATGTTTTTTTTTATTTCACCACCATATTTAGCTGATAACGTAAAGCTGAAAAGTACGGAAGAGCATTGCATTCACCAAATAAAAAAAGTTAGGACTCCTGATCTCATATTCGAGATCAGGATCTCATAATTATGAGATATTATCTCATAATTACGAGATCAGGATCTCATAATTATGAGATATTATCTCATAATTACGAGAAAAGATCTCATAATTATGAGATAAGATGTCATAATTACGAGATCCTTATTTCCTGTGGATTTTGAGCAGGTAATGGTCCTGGACGTGTATGCGTGTAATGCCGAAGGCACGAGTGCCCAAAACAAGCAGTATAATGTTAATTCACCAGAGTTAAATAAAGTTGTGACCCAGGGTTGAAACAGGAGGAAGTGTGCTCTGCTCTTTGTGTACATACAGGACGTAATTTAAGCATTTCAGAGGCATTAGCTATAGCCGTAGCATCCCGTACTGCAGGAAGAGAGCGACTTCCAGAATGTCAGAGTTGGCTTTACGCTTGAACAACCGCAAGGAAGATACCTGCGTAATGTCAACATACTATCATCCATACAGCATCATACCATGTCAGTAATGTTGTGTTCGGACTGTATGGAATYGGACTCTTATTTTGAAATATCCATTTGCTGAAACCGGAAGCACCACTWCCAGCTAAATGACGGTGTTATGTTTGTGCCGAAGCTGCCGAAGCTGAACAGAAACACTCTGACCGATGTGCAGGTGGATTGATTAATAAACCCACATTAATAGATACAACACAATCCACGTTAAGTAAACTCAATATTTCCCAATATTTCATACCTAAGAGGGAATAAAAGCTYATAAAATGTGATAGTGCCGTCATTGTTTACTTTTCATTTAATGTAAATCAGCTGACCCTCTTTAACTTATCTCATAATTATGAGATCCTGATCTCGTAATTATGAGATAATGTCTCTTAATTATGACATCTTATCTCATAATTATGAGATCTTTTCTCGTAATTATGAGATCAGGAGTCAAATTTTTTTTATTAGGTGAATGCAATGCTCTTCCGTAGAAAAGCGATACTTAACAAAGTATTTTCAACATTTTGAAGTGGGCTTTTAAGACCAAAGCGACTTTCATCTTTAAACAACTCTAACCTCAAAAATTCTGAAGTGGTTTATGTGCAAAGTGATTTATAAACATTTACATCTGTATCAGTTTCACATTAAATGGTAATTTACACTGATGTCTTGAAGTAAAAACGGCAGCAGCTAGATGAAGCACTTTCTGTGCAGCCTTCGACACTTCTAGCGTATTCAAAAAAGAGTTAAAAACAAAAACAAATGGACTTTCAATTCTAAAGTTGAAGACATTTTGCTTCCCATCAAGGAGGCTTTTTCAAGTCTGTAGTGAGCTGTGATGCTGATTTTAAAATATCCACCTGAGAAGCCAAGTGAGGACTTGGATTCACATGTTAATCTAGCTGGAGCCAATCGTTCTTCACAATGGAGGCCCTGTGTGACTCCCAAAAGAGGTGTTCAGGTGTTCTTCACATGCTTGAAGGTGTGGACTATCTGCCATATTTCAACGTAGAATTCATGCAATGCAATACTGTAAATGTTTAATTTCTGTTTTGTTTGAGCTGCAATGAAATTTCTAACACTGTAGTTGTAATGGTGCTTTCACACCGAACGTGATTTCAGCATCAGGAGCAGCAGGTTTACATGCAAAGTCTATGGTGGACGCACTTCAAGCAACGTCGGGAAGTTCTGCGGCGCCTCAAGCGCGATTAGAGCAGCGCGATTTGAACGATTTGAACGATCTGAGCGTTCGATGCGCTGAGGCGCAAATCGCTGAAGTTAGAAAATCTGAACTTTTGCAGCTCGACGCGCCGCGTCAACCAATCAGAGAGACTCCACTGTGTGACGTAGCGACATATTTCCCGACGGGACAGTTTACTGAATGATGTCCACTAACCTGAAACAGATGGAGAGGAGCTCTTTAGCTGAAATCGAGTGCCTGCAGCGTCTCATCAGACTGGAAAAAAGTCCTGAAAGCGAGCTGTGAGCCTCCACTCTGAATTATCTGGTGAATTAATTATGAATTAATTATCTGATGAACGTGACATGCTCTTGCTCTCTGTAAATAAAGCAAAGCCACTTCCTCGTCCGACATGAAACAGAGCCCGACAGAGGAGGGAGGGGCGGGGAGGCYGTTGCCGTGCAGCGCTTCAAGAGCTGACCTGCGTCTGACCTCAAAGTGCACAAGCTTCAAAATTCAGCGTTGGCTGCGATTTTGAAGCTGAAATCGCGTTTGGTGTGAACGCAGCATAAGACCAGTAGGACCATCCACTTTAGAAGTGGGTTTGCTTGAGAACCACAGAAACAACCCCTAAGTAAAATTTGCCATCATAAAACAATGACTTCAAGATGCAGTTTGTATGAGTAATTATAAAACTTTGTTTTATAAGATTACAATTTTAAAATCGTAAAACTGGCTTTACTGAAGACAACAGTAATCCCCTGGTAGTAGTTCTGCTTGGACTAACCAGTCATGTCAGACCAAATTGATAATCCTCCATACTAAAGCTGTAAAACATGTCCTAGCAATCACTTTAAATTTTTAATGGGCCAACAATTACAAAAATTACACAAACAGTAGCCAAAATGTTTCTCACTTCTTTTGAACAACTGGGTCTACCTTGATTTCTGTGTGTTCCAGCTTCAATAACCACATAATAGTTATCATTTTGACTGCTGAGGATGACAAAATCTGCGTGTTACTTTTACAAAGAGCTCATGCTTTTGCATGAACTCCAACAAGTTCAAGAACAGCATCTAATTTAGTTGGAGTATGTATTTTCCAGATATTTTTGAAGGGGTGTTAATAGTTAATAGTCTTTAGCGACTTTTTTTTCCATCTTTTATACACAGTTTATGCCAAACTGTGAATTGTAGTTGGGGTTTCTTTAACACACACAAAAAAAGAAGATTTTGACAAATCCATCTTGCCTGGTGCACTCTGGTGTTTTCATGCAGGTCAGATCTCAGTGGATGGCTTCACCAGGTACCTGAACGGAGAAGAGAACAGCATCATCCCCCCYGAGAAGCTGGACCAGAGTGAAGACATGACCTTTCCCCTCTCCCACTATTTTATCAATTCCTCACACAACACATACCTCACAGGTAAACACACACACTCAGCATGTCTGACAYGAGTCTGAAATGTGCCTTATCTGTYRGGGGCTCAACCTGCACAAATTCACCTTTTATTTCTCTACAAATGAACAGATGGGTSATGCATTCAGAAAGATTATTAAAGTTGCACAAGTGAAACCGCTCAACTCTATACTTCAAAGGTCAGTCAGTCAAACAGGCTGGTGCTTATCGAGTTCTTCTTCCCGTGCTACCTATCAAGAGGTTATCCARTCAAGTCAAGGCATTGAGACTCATTTCATTGGTATTCATGAGTTAAATGTTTCTTTTGACTGGTAGTCACAGTAACTGCTTCCTGGCAGGCATTCACAATACAKGGACCATTTTCTTCTCAATGGATATTAGAATTCATCTATTCAAATCTATTCTGAGGGGAAACTGGAGAGCGTTGAGTCTTTCAAGTGGATCAGATTTCTCTCCAGCAATGAAAGAAACGGCATTTCCGTAATACCTCCGTCTGCAAAAAGAAGCAATGAGAAAAACAAATTTCGAATTTTCTCTTTTAACAAACACAGACYCCTTTGAATATTTTCAAAGTGACAAGTTTTTCAACTCTAATAGAATTAGCGTATTTCTGTCCTTGGGGTGTTTTTTTATGTTTAGTTTACTGCTTAATAAGAAAAGTTTTTATAAAGTATGTCCAATGTAATTGTTTTCTTTTTTGTAAAATGCAATATCTTGATAGAAAACTCTTAATCGTGGGTAAACAAAGTGCTCATCTGAAAACCCCTGAAAGTTTTAGTCTAGTGATTGGCTCACATTAGGTTGGCTGTACTCTGGAAACTAATATGGCGGTGTTAAAACGGTCCATGGTCTTAAAGGGATCCCCGATTAGTTTTAACATTAGACTTTATTTGATAAACATATATTTTAACTGTAAAATAAAGACTGTAAAAATACTGTAGGCTGTTTAGT